TGGGGCAGACTAGGGGGCCACACAGGCACTGGGGCAGACTAGGGGGCCACACAGGCACTGGGGCAGACTAGGGGGCCACACAGGCACTGGGGCAGACTAGGGGGCCACACAGGCACTGGGGCAGACTAGGGGGCCACACAGGCACTGGGGCAGACTAGGGGGCCACACAGGCACTGGGGCAGACTAGGGGGCCACACAGGCACTGGGGCAGACTAGGGGGCCACACAGGCACTGGGGCAGACTAGGGGGCCACACAGGCACTGGGGCAGACTAGGGGGCCACACAGGCACTGGGGCAGACTAGGGGGCCACACAGGCACTGGGCAGACTAGGGGGCCACACAGGCACTGGGGCAGACTAGGGGGCCACACAGGCACTGGGGCAGGACTAGGGGGCCACACAGGCACTGGGGCAGACTAGGGGGCCACACAGGCACTGGGGCAGACTAGGGGGCCACACAGGCACTGGGGCAGACTAGGGGGCCACACAGGCACTGGGGCAGACTAGGGGGCCACACAGGCACTGGGGCAGACTAGGGGGCCACACAGGCACTGGGGCAGACTAGGGGGCCACACAGGCACTGGGGCAGACTAGGGGCCACACAGGCACTGGGGCAGACTAGGGGTCACACAGGCACTGGGGCAGACTAGGGGTCACACAGGCACTGGGGCAGACTAGGGGTCACACAGGCACTGGGGCAGACTAGGGGTCACACAGGTACTGGGGCAGACTAGGGGGCCACATAGGCACTGGGGCAGACTAGGGGCCACACAGGCACTGGGGCAGACTAGGGGTCACACAGGCACTGGGGCAGGCTAGGGGTCACACAGGTACTGGGGCAGACTAGGGGGCCACACAGGCACTGGGGCAGACTAGGGATCACACAGGCACTGGGGCAGACTAGGGGGGGCCACACAGGCACTGGGGCAGACTAGGGGCCACACAGGCACTGGGGCAGACTAGGGGGCCACACAGGTACTTGGGCAGACTAGGGGGCCACACAGGCACTGGGGCAGACTAGGGGTCACACAGGCACTGGGGCAGACTAGGGGGCCACACAGGTACTGGGGCAGACTAGGGGGCCACACAGGCACTGGGGCAGACTAGGGGCCACACAGGCACTGGGGCAGACTAGGGGCCACACAGGCACTGGGGCAGACTAGGGGGCCACACAGGCACTGGGGCAGACTAGGGGGCCACACAGGCACTGGGGCAGACTTGGGGGCCACACATGCACTGGGGCAGACTAGGGGGCCACACAGGCACTGGGGCAGACTAGGGGGCCACACAGGCACTGGGGCAGACTAGGGGGCCACACAGGCACTGGGGCAGACTAGGGGGCCACACAGGCACTGGGGAAGACTAGGGGGCCACACAGGCACTGGGGCAGACTAGGGGGCCACACAGGCACTGGGGCAGACTAGGGGGCCACACAGGCACTGGGGCAGACTAGGGGGCCACACAGGCACTGGGGCAGACTAGGGGGCCACACAGGCACTGGGGCAGACTAGGGGCCACACAGGCACTGGGGCAGACTAGGGGCCACACAGGCACTGGGGCAGACTAGGGGTCACACAGGCACTGGGGCAGACTAGGGGTCACACAGGCACTGGGGCAGACTAGGGGTCACACAGGCACTGGGGCAGACTAGGGGGCCACACAGGCACTGGGGCAGACTAGGGGCCACACAGGCACTGGGGCAGACTAGGGACCACACAGGCACTGGGGCAGACTAGGGGTCACACAGGCACTGGGGCAGGCTAGGGGTCACACAGGTACTGGGGCAGACTAGGGGGCCACACAGGCACTGGGGCAGACTAGGGATCACACAGGCACTGGGGCAGACTAGGGGGCCACACAGGCACTGGGGCAGACTAGGGGCCACACAGGCACTGGGGCAGACTAGGGGGCCACACAGGTACTGGGGCAGACTAGGGGGCCACACAGGCACTGGGGCAGACTAGGGGGCCACACAGGCACTGGGGCAGACTAGGGGTCACACAGGCACTGGGGCAGACTAGGGGGCCACACAGGTACTGGGGCAGACTAGGGGGCCACACAGGCACTGGGGCAGACTAGGGGGCCACACAGGTACTGGGGCAGACTAGGGGGCCACACAGGCACTGGGGCAGACTAGGGGTCACACAGGCACTGGGGCAGACTAGGGGGCCACACAGGCACTGGGGCAGGCTAGGGGGCCACACAGGCACTGGGACAGACTAGGGGGCCACACAGGCACTGGGGCAGGCTAGGGGTCACACAGGCACTGGGGCAGACTAGGGGGCCACACAGGCACTGGGGCAGGCTAGGGGGCCACACAGGCACTGGGACAGACTAGGGGGCCACACAGGCACTGGGGCAGGCTAGGGGGTCACACAGGCACTGGGGCAGACTAGGGGGCCACACAGGCACTGGGGCAGGCTAGGGGGCCACACAGGCACTGGGACAGACTAGGGGGTCACACAGGCACTGGGACAGACTAGGGGGCCACACAGGTTGGATTAATGTCAAGTTTGATGCGCAGGGCTTCAGTAGCTTCACATTCCAATAAGTAGTACAAGAGTGGCGCCTCTGCTTCTGTTCCACAGATGTGACACTCTTTAACTATTGGGTTCATTACCTCCCAGCAGCACTTGTACCCAAGTCTGAGTCTGTGTATGGCTACTGCAATGTCTCTGGATATCTTTTTGCCAGGCTTAAAAGGAGTAACCAGTGGCTTGTTCGTACCATATCGCAGTGGATCTTCCTTCCGCTACTTTTGCTCTGTGGCGACTTTTGATAGTTGAGAATATTTTCTTCTTGATTTGCTCCTTTATCTGTGAGAAGCTTGGAGGTATTTGAACCTGTACAACAGGTAGAGCAGTGGCAGTTTTTGCTAGTGAGTCTGTCTTTTCATTACCATCTATGCCAATGTGACTTGGTATCCAATTTAGGGTGAGTGACAGCCCTAGATTATGGGCTTCTTTTCCTATAAGTAAGATTTTCTGTGAGGAGTTGTATATTATCTCTGTGCTGACTGGATAACAATGCCTGGAGCGAAGATTTAGAGTCGGTATGAATGATGACATCATGTAAATTATTCTCAATTGTATAGTTTATCGCCTCTTTCAGGGCATATAATTCTGTTTGCAATGTTGAGCACCCACTATTCATGCTCCAGTAAGCTTCATGGTTGGTAGTGTAAACTGCTGCCCCAGCAGAACCTTTTTCTTGATCAACTGATCCGTCTGTGAAGATGTGATTTGTTGTAGGTCTTGAGATGGTTTCCATTTGCTGCTCTATTACTTCGTTGAGCCTCTGCGGGTCACATGCTGATTTTTTAACTGGTAATCTTTCAATTATCATCTTTAGACTCGAGTCTTCCCATGGAGGAGGCTGCCGAAAGTGTTGATATGGTCTATCTTCCCCTTTGTTTTTAATGGTCCATTTCAAGTCCACTTTTTCTAGAATCTTCACTAGATTATCCGTCCATGCACTTGTTCTATATTGAAGGTTTCTGTGAAGCGATCTGTGTATGCTGTCTTTGATTGACAGTCTGGCGGTGGTTCCAACAAGTTGTGCTGTTATGGTGGCTATCCTTTGTTTGATCCTGTTTTCTAAGGCTGGTAAGCTGGTTTCCATTCTTAGATTCCCTGGACGCGTCCATATAGGTGCTCCCAGCATTGTTCTGAGAGCATCCTTTTGAGACACTTCCAGTTTCTCCCATTGGTTATCACTGAGGAATGTAAGAGCAGGAGCAGCATAGTCAATGAGTGACCTAACTGCTTGAACGTAGTACATTTTGAGTACTGGTAGAGATGCACCCTCTCTAGTATGGTAGAGTAAGTGTGGTGTGTGTTGACCAGACCACACACTAGAAGGTGAAGGGACGACGACGTTTCGGTCCGTCCTGGACCATTCTCAAGTCGATTGTGAATGTGTTGTGTGTACCACATATATAACACTGTTGGCCAGTGACCCCTTGGATGCATTATACACCTGTCCTAAGGTGAGGCGGTCAGGTGTGTGCCATCAGCAGGTGTGGATAAGCTTCCCGCGCTGCTCAGGTATTTCAGTAGTAATCCGGTGAGTTAATATTTGTTTTATCAGCAGCCACACTCGAGCGTCTCCCCTCAGGTGAGGACAACCTCCAGACCAGTCAATCCTCCAGGCTTAAGGCACACCAGCCTCAGTAAACCAATAAGGGTGGTCAGCTTCCTGTGGTGCTGCCTTCCTTGTGTGTCTCGTCTCCACCAGCCCTTACTCCCCCCCCCACCACACTCCCCCACCCTCCCCAAGATGCCTCTCCCCCTCCCCTTCCCCCCACACCTCCCCAGGAGGTCTGAGTGTGTGATCAGGACGCGACTTACATCTGACCGACTAATGTGATTAGCCGTTGAGTTGTAGGTCTGGTCCTCCCTACACACTCAGACCTTGACAAAGCACTCAGGAGAGAGTGAAAGACTTGGTATAATTCTTTACATAAACTTCACAAATACACAAGTGTGTGTGGGGGGGGGGGTTTATGCTGTGTTATCGTGCTTGTGAGAAGACATTACCATTACTTAACATTTTAATTGTTATTATGTAGTACTTAAATGAATACTTTCGCTGATACATTGTTAAGAAGGTTAATGCCCTCTGTGTCTGTACAGGTCCTGGAGCGGACAGCCGACGGTGGCAACACCAGAGTCACCGGATCCGGATACGATAGGCAATTCCTGTTTAAACGTGCAGCCAGCGAGGGAGGGGTGGCAGAGGTGATGGAGCCACTCCATAACCTTCCCCAGTAACCCCCAGCGCCCCCCAGCGCCCCCCCAGAGCCCCCCAGCGCCCCCCAGCTCACCCTCAGCTTCAAGCTCCAACTCACAGCTACTTCATTAATCAACCCAACGGCTCGTGTCTTCACTCTGTGGCATATGTGGACCCAAACTTGTGTTAACCCAGAGAGCAGTTACGGGGAGCCCGTCCGGGTGACTGTGTAGGGACGACCAGTCTCCTGTAATGAAAGATATTGTAACA